GGGTTTCTCCACGGTGTGGCGCAATAGGATAGGAGGAGAAATATGGCGCAGATTATTTCACTTCAGTGAAAGTGAACAATAGAGGAACTGAAATTCTTAAAAAAAGTTGTCTTTCAGTCAGAAATTATTCCAATAATCTTATCAAAACTTCAATCCATATGTTTGTCATTYTTATTGTTGAATAATAAAAATGCTCACAAATAAAAATAATATAATATTTAAAATGGCATTAACCATTATATTAATAAAGTCATAATAAAGCAAGTGATGATTGTTTTCTTTAAAAACCGAACTAAATCCTAAACAATATAAAACATATGGGCCACATGATTTACTTATTTATATTTAAATTATTTTTGCTACAAAATGCCTGAGAACCATAATCTTCTCATGCAGAGAAAAGTAGGAAATGCTTTGAAAAAAAAGGAGCGCAATGACGTCAAGTTGAAAGGCCACCATTTTTCAGTATCATCTCAAATCATCAGTGTGCTCTGCGCCTGCAGGGGGCCTCATTGGGCTGAAAACAGTGGCTCAGCATGAGGGCTGAGGGTTGTGGAAACAGGAAATAAGTCTCTGATCTGAGAATTTATAACCATTTTGACTTGAAACTGAACAAGCATGGGAAAATAACAAAAGCAGGTGTTTAATAAAGTGACACACACCTTTAAAAAAACTGCTGTGAGAACAAGTCACTCAAGTTCTCTCTGTGGGACAGAGCAAAGTTCAAACCAGCTTTCCATCTGCACCAGAAGAATGCAGAGAGCTGCCAGCTGACGAGAACCCAGCATCAGCATCTCTGCTTCCAGCAGGTGAAGCGACACCCGAGCTGCAGCCGGACACCAGTTTCCTGTGGAGGAAAGAAGTCCTCGCTGCAAAATCTGCATCCTCTGACCCCCCGAGCTCCTTTCCAACCTTCCAACTTTCTGGGATTGTCTTTGACGCGTAGCTGCATATAACTCTTTCCTCTGATGCCTGCGGAGTAAGTGTGTTCAGTTCATCAGAAATGATGAAGTCAGGAGAAGTGTTTCCAAAATACATTTATAATGAGCAAATTTGATGCTTCATTTGTCTCATTTATGGAATAATTGCTAATAATAAAAAAACATTATCTATTTAGTTTCTTCTTTTTGTAAACTGACACAAAAAGATTTCCTGTTAATTTAGTTTATTTAATCTCTGACAACAACTTAAGTGAATATAAAAAAAATCCAAGTTTGGCTAATTCTTATGAACTAATCCACCATAGAGGTTTTAATTAGTTATCCAGTTGAGTTTCATTTCATTAGTTGATAAATGCAGACATTTTAGATGAATTAAAACACAACTACGAGAAAGAAATAACAAATAATTTTCTTGACTCCMTTATTTAGTATCCTTAAACCTCATAATTTACATCTATAAGTCAATTTGGGATAGTTTATTTTTGCCACATCCATCAACCTGTGGAGTTTATAAAAATATAAGTTTTATCTGCAGTTAACCAGTCAGAATATCCCCTCCCTCTCATGGAAGTAAACAAACACACGTTTTGCTTCTGTTCTCACTTCTCTGCAGAAAACAAGACAGTTTTTTTTCTTTCCCTCTCTGAGGAAGACGCTGATGCTGCAGTTCTTCCAATGAGGTGGCTGCAGGTTTAAAGTAGGGCTAAAGTGCTGAAAATGAACAGCAGCCATTCCAGGGTCATCTTTGTGAAGCAGCGGTGAGCGTCAAGGTTCTTGACTTTGCTGAATGTAGAGATTAGGAAAACAGCCGAGTGAGCAGAAAGATGAGGAGACTGACCGGAAAGGTAAAAGTAGAGATCTCAGACAGAATAGGCCTTTTTTATTTTACTTCTTGCCAGTCATCTCACTCCATCTTTAATACATGTCATTTGTATAATAAATAAATAAAGGGCTCCAAAAACTTAGTG